CTCCGGAGGCTTTGGGGGCATCCCGGGGCGGGTGGGTATCCTGTTGTGAGACCTGAGGGCTGGCGGAGGGAAGTTCAACCTGGAAGAGAAGCTGAAGTTAGAAGGCAGCCCTGTACGTAGGTGCTCGTAGGTGTTCACGATGAACAAACTTCGCTGGTTTTTAACTCTCTCCGCAGCAGTTGCTGAGTTTCAGCAGGTGAGGGTTAAGACAGTTTCCACACAGATATCGCTGAGGTGAATGGAACAGATCACAGAATCCTAACACAGAATTCTGTCACAGAACAGCTGAGGTTGGAAGGGACTGTAAAGCTCATCTACTGCCATGGGCAGGGACACCTTCCACCAGACCAGGTTGCTCAAAGCCCCGTCCAACCTGGCCTTGACTATCTCTGTCTTTCCAGAAGTCAGTGATTGCCCGATCTAGGCTGTGTGCACTGCCAAAAGGTGTGTGCTTTGAAAATGAGATAACTGCACAGGACAGTTGCATAAAATCCCTGTGGAAGCAAGTGCTCCAGTTCTTAACCATGAATCAACTTGATGAGGTCACCGCTATGTACCTGGGATGCATTGATCTTGTGGTTAACCTGATGTTAATGCTACAGTTCTCGTTCTGCTTGAATGATACCATGCACGTTATACTCTCCAATACACACTATACAGTGCACATTGAAAATGCATTTAGGTTTCTTTCTGTTAATCGTTGAAAACAATCTGATACTGAAAAGTATTATGCTAGAATTGCAAGATTATCTTGGAGATCACAACCAGCAATTGCTGGCAGGAGCAGGCACTCTGCTTTTCTGGAAGTCTGCTGCATGAACAGCTGGTTCCTTACTCAACAGGCAAAATCATTTAGTAGTCTGATTACATTGGCTTAATCCTTAAAAAAACAAACAAACCAACAAACCTGCAGTTTTTTCAGGCTGTGTGCATGTGTAAGGGGTTAACACCTTTTACACATTTACGCTAGTTGCCATGATATAGTGACCAGCTATTGTATGACTGCTTTGTAGTGATCATTATAAATTTACTGATGATGCCTTCTGGGATGCATTGAATATTTACCTGAAGTTACAAGACTTTGAAATTAAAAGAATTTCATAATAGGTATAAGTTCCTTCTGAATGAAAGTCATAATTTGTATTAGCTCACCTGACAGGAAACTACTTGTTCATACCACATTTAAAGTAGTAGTAGGGGGAAGAGTAAAGTATGCCTTAATAGAGGGAAACAGTGAGATTGTATGAATGGATGTCACTGTTGGTGTGCAAAACCTTTAGGTAAATGAGAAAATAAAGTATCTTCATGATAATTTGAGAACACAGTGTGTGAAGAATGACAGCATTTTGCTGGCTGAATTTGGTGATCAGTGGAGAAAGTATATTCCATTCCTGATTTTTATCATGGGTTCTGTGAGCATTTAGGCATTAACATCTTTAGTTCTGCTGAGTTCATAAGGACGCTGGTCCTGATGAAGTGGTGGCCAGAACACATGGATTTTCTTGACCCTTTCAGTAGTGAGGAATGAAGCCTGGTGTAGCAGCAGTATAGCATGAGTGGCTTTAGGGTTTTTTGATGAGGTATGGGTTGGTTGGTTTGTTTATTGTAGATGCAGTTACACTGGCAAAACTGCACTCTTTTGGCAATTGTTTATTGCTTTCAGAAGGTGTGATGGTTTCTGTTGCACCAGTACAAACTGCAGCATTACCATTATGCTTGGATATGCATTAGAGGTGCCTTAAAAAGGTACTAGCATTTGAGTCTCCTCATTTCCATCATGTACATCAGCATTGTGACTAGCCAAATACTTTATGTGTAAGCACAGCCAACGTTCTTACTTCTCTTTCATGCTATATATCAGATCTGATGCCTTCATTTATCCGTCATGGTCCAACCATTCCAAGACGAACTGATATCTGTCCTCCTGACTCAACAACTTCTGCATATGCTTCTGGTGGAGATGGAATTGTTTCCAGAAACCAGAGTTTCCTTCGAACTCCAGTGCAGAGGCCACCTCATGAAATAATGAGACGTGAAAGCAACAGATTATCTGCACCTTCCTATCTTGCAAGAAGTTTAGCTGATGTCCCCAGGGAATATGGCTCTTCCTCACAGTCCTTTTTAACAGAAGCTAATTCTGTTTTGGAAAATGGAGGTGCTGGTGCCCATTGTTACTATTATGATCATTTTTATGATGCCCAGAGGAGGCGTCATTTAAACGATCGCGTACATGAGGACTACAGGTATTATGAACACAACAGCGATCTCTTCCAGAGGATGTCACAGAATCATGGGAGGCACACTTCGGGTAAGTATTAATTCTTGCTGTTTTTAAAATATGGTTTTGGTAAGACTTTAGGTGCAGAGGTATATCTGGACGATTGGAGTCATGCTTTTAGGAGTTACGCTGAAGGGCAGAGCTGCTTTTTAATTACATTTCTGGAAGCCAAGTACACTGTGTGTTCACATTTCTTAGACTTAAGAATTTGAGCACATATATCCAGAAGGAAAAATATGCTTAAACCAGGATTTGTTTATGAAGTAAATGGGCTAAGGTCAGGCAAGTTTTTAATTTAATGCCAAGCACATATGCAGTGCCTCTATACAAAGTTGAATTGGTTGCTGGCTAATAAGGATTTTATTCATTAGGACGTATCTACTATTTTCATGACATAGAGAATAACCAACACCTCTAAATTGTAACATTGCCATTTCATTTTACTGTTACTGTATTTTAACTATCATCATGTTACTATTTAGTTTTATTGTGTTAATTTGACATCAGTAATTATAAATAGTCAAAGGGTGGCATGACTGTTTTGCATAATTAGCAAATTAGCATATAATTAGTGCTGAAATTGACATCCTAGTCCTTAATGCTTTTTTTTCTCTTTAGCTTGTAGTATTGTTTGTAAATGTGCCTGTTTCCTCCTCAATTTCACTGGAACTTGTCTTTGTTTACTAAAGGAAGAACAGCATAAGAAAGAAGAATCCATTAAATATTACTTTTTTGAAATATTTGATTCTATGTGTGGTGCCACTGAAGAATAATTCTTTGGTGCGGTGTGCTGTTGTGAATCTACTAGTGGAATAAAAAGTCTGGGATTACAATACTGGCCACAGAAAGGTGACCTTAAATGTAGTAAACTTTGCTGTATTCCAGCACTGTATATACTACAAAAAACTGTTCAAGGAGGAGTTTGAATCAAACATTTCAAACCTGTAAATAATGTACCTTCAATATGAAATAGTTGTTTGTTTGCCATTACTTGTAGTCTGTCAACAAATTAGCTAATCGTCTCTAGCAAAATAAATCTCCTGTCTAGAAAAACAAATCTGGGAAGAACATCAACTTCTAAGGCTACTGACCTGGTGGATGGAATTATAACCCAACAATGCTTTGTGGGTTTTTTACTACAGAAGCATTTCCATGAAAAGTGACAGAAGAGTAGTGCTGGTGTTACTGCTGTCAGCCAGTAAATTCCGAAATACTAAAGTTTAAGACTTGCTACTTCAATCCTTGCTTATTTTGCTAAATGCTTATACATCTGATCTACCTAGATTTTGCATGAAAGCCCTCCATCTCTGTCAGTTGTTCAGACCAGTCATCAAACGCTTACCTGGTCTTGTAAGCAAAACTAGTGTGTGCTGCAGTGTAGGGAGGACAGACAGGAGGGCAGGATTTCATAAACCAATCCCATCAATTTAACATTTAAAATTACTATAGTAGCTGTGTGAGGAAGATGTAAAAAACTGGTACTGTACTGCTACTGGGCAAAACTGAAATGATCTTAAGTGGAAATGGAGTTCTAGCTATTAGTTTGAAAGTGGAGTTTAATCTAGCAAATTTTTAAACCAAGGTGAAAGTAGGGTTTTCCAGACATGGATTTCTCAATTGTAGCAACACGGATTTCTCTCTGAACAGACTTCCCCTCTCCTCCCCTGCCCACTTGTCAGCATACCCCATTGGCTACTGGAAACATAAAGGAGCTGCTGATGCTTGTTTGGTCTTTTGTCATTCACTCTCATACTTTCACATTTGATATTTTGAACAAATTCTATGCATATTTTGTAATGGGTGAGTATTCAATCTGTGTTTGTAGGGAGAGACAAAAAAAGGTGGGCCTTCTGTCTGCCAAAGTGTTTCCCTTCTCCTCTATTTTTTTTTTTGTTTTCATCACAGCATGAATGTGAACTCTATTCCTCTTTCAGTTTCACTGCAGTAAGAATATTGACCGATGCCCTTAACTTTTGTACATCTTTTCTAGAACTGTAAAATAATTATGTGGCCAAAAATAAGAAAACCTTAATTTTCTTACTTCTTTCATCTCACCATTAAGCTGCTTTTTGTTTGAACCATCCATTGTCTGCAAACCTACAGTGTTTTCCTTGAGATACACTAATTTTTCTGTAATTTCTAGTTCCCTTTTTCTCTGCGTTTCCAGAATATTGAGGCAGGCCTTTCACTTTTCATTGTCTTTGTCTAAATTACTTGCTTTACACATATCCATTGTTGTTTCTAAACGTTTCACCTAATCAAAATTCTTCAAAATAATTGATGTCAGAATTGCCCAACACCCACAGTTTCAATGTAAATTCTGTTAATTAGCTAGAATGTGTAAATTCTGCCTCCTACCCTTTTCTTCCTCTCCCACCCTGCATCAGAAGGTCCCCTCAGTCAGTTCTGTTCTGGTTTGGGTTGATTGCTGCAGAAATATTCCCTGGTGAACACAAGGTGTACTTGCTGTCGGTGAGTGATCCTTCATTTAGTGCTGGTTGCAGCTGGGATGACATTATAGAAGCAGTGATCTGGAAGTGGTGTGTGTGAATTTCAGCTTTCATTCAAAATAGAGATTCCATTCTTTATAATTTGGAGAGAAGTTAAAACCATGATTTTATTGTGATCTTCATACTCAAGAGTATTCAGCAAAGTACAAGAAAGTCCCATGATTTTTCAGCAGTTGATGTTGACAACATTGATACGTTCTTTCACCTTGAAGTCATGTTTTCTGTCTCAGTATGATTCAATTCTACCATGTCCTTCCTCTCTTATTTTCATTAGATTTGGTTTTAATTAGCAATCTAGCTGTTTTTTCCAGAAATAAGAGATATTTGAGTTATTTCCTGATTTTGTACGTTTTGCTACCTCTGTGGCATTTCTTTATTTTTATTTTTTTTTTTAATAGCGTCCATTTCAAACTTGATTCTAAGAGACTTTACCTATCTTTCCTCGACATCTCTTTCCTCTCTTCTAGGTTAAAGGTTTGGGGAGGTCTGTGGTTGAAGTTATATCTACAGTATAGATTGGAACTAACTTGTAACCAAGACCTCAGAGTTATTTGTACCTGTTTGAGCGGTAAGCTTAAAAATTCTTATGTGTATATGAAAATTGCTGAGATTAAAATCACAGTGTAAAGGGACTTTCTGATGATGCATTGTAAGCAGTTGACTGTGGTGTCAGAAGAGAAAAGCAATTAATCCTGTGAGCAGAGAATCCAGTACACTTTTGTGAAAGTAGGTTCATCTCGTGTTAAATTGTACCCCTTAAAAACTGCAAACTGGTATTCATGCTTAATATAAGACCAAAATAGAGAAATACAAATTATTAAATGAAACCTATTTAGAGGTAAAGTTGCAGGGCTGTTCTTTTTAGGCGTGTGTACTTCACTTGTTTTTGAACAAATGGCAGTTCCTGCCCTTTTCTTCTTATGTGCTGATTTTGCAGTAATTTCTTTGTAGAATACTTTTCAAAGCTTTCAGAGTACTTCCTGTTATTTCCTATTTGTGAATTTATGCTTACTTGGAATGCCCCATTCTCTCTGCAAACGAGATAGTTGTGCTCAGGAAGTACCTTCAGATGCTTTGGAATGGGTAAGAAAGGCCTAGAAGCCTCTTTTGCTTTTTTCCTTACTACTTACTCCCTTAAAATTAAGCAGTTTGTTCGTGTTCTCTTCCTGTTCTTCATCCTAGTTTGATGAGGGGAAGGGAGAGGATTTTGGCATTCTGAAAAAAGGTTCTTGAGACAATTGACCTAATGAAAAATTAATTCGAAGGTCTTTTGTTTGGCTAGATCTGTTCTTTAACGCTTTAAAATTTTGTTGAAGCTAGTTGTGGGGAGTTCATAGTCTCTGAAACTTCTCTGCCCACATCAGCATTGTGTCTAATAAACTAAGTGAGACTTTCTGTTCTTTTGGGTTTTTTTCCTCTTTCCCCTGCTCTGGTGATACCGTTTTTCTCCTGTGCTTTCTACCAGGCAGCTGCCCTTTGCTGACCAGGAAGTCTTTCATCCTAAGAACTTTGACTTCTTTCCGGGAAGATTTTCTTTACCATGAAACCCCTTCACTGGGTAGTGAAAGCATTAACGCGTATCCCTTACCGATTTTTGTTCCATGCTAATGGAACAAACCAAACAGAATCTCCTGGACTGAAGAAGATACTACATATTTGTCACACTAGTGATGTCACTAGGTTAAGATACATTTTTAAAGAGAAGAATATTAAATGAAGGAACTCTGCATTGATACAGTGCATTGGAATGTGCTGCTCAAAGTTTGGGTTCTGGAATTAGGACACCCTATTGTTGAAAATACAACTGAATATAGGGCCTAGCCTTCCTTAAAACTCTGAGTATTTTAAATCTTACTAATAGTAGTAATAAGTGGTTGCTGTCCCTTTGCACTTTGTTTTTTTCAAAGTGTCAAGAACATACACAGCAATACTTCTAAGCAAACAAACTGCATTGAAGAGGATTTTACTATTCTGTGATTCTTTTGCTTTGAGACAGCATATAATGCCTCTCAGCCTGGTTGACAAGTTATTTCAAGACCTAAAACTGAAGGAGGTACTAAGTTTTACAAGAGAAGGAAAAAGCAAAGCCACAAATGATGTTCAGTATTGATGTTACTTAAAAGCAGCAGCTGAACCAAAGTATACCCGAAACATATACCATTATGAAACATAATTAGCAAATGAGGCTAGACAAGGTCTAAAAAGGCAACCTGCAAAGATTTACAATTGCAAAAATTAAAATTCATTGTGGACCATTCTTGAGATTTGATAGTGGCACTCAGGGGAATTTATAAAGAACTATGCTTATCCTTAAGCAGAGGAAAGGAGACTCCTAACGTTTAGAAAAAGCAGGTAATTTAAACAACTCTGTTCCCTGGGAAAGCAGGAAGAATGTGAATTTCTGTCTTGACATAGATGAAACAGCATGTGAACAAGAAAACCCCAAGTAGTCACAGTGAACTCGTTTGACTAGTCTGGTTTTGCTTATCCTCCACTGACAGGAAAATTACAGGGGTTACACTAGGTATTTTAGTAAAAATGGTTCCTGTTTTAAGTTAGTTTGTTTTCTGTAGATAGTTTGCATTGTGTTATGTAAATGTGGTACCAGCCTGTGATGCAGGGAATATCCTGGGAGTGCACAGTAGAATCCTGTGTGAAGTTTCAGGCTAGTATGAAAATGCTTTAGGGCAAAGACCTTACCTCAGATTTAAACACAGAAGAGTCTTGTACTTTGGCAGTATGATACACAAAAGGTAGTGCTCGTAGGAGGTGGTTTCAGGCTGTCTTGTAACTTTCTTTTTTGATTTATGCTTTGGAAAAGACCACATAGGAATGTGCTCTTCCAAGCGTTGTTCAGTCTTACTGATGCTTACAGGTGTATATATATGAAGGCCAATTTTCATGTTCTCTTACTGTTCAAAATCATAGCAGGAGCTATTTCTCTTGCATGTGTATCCACTTTCCCTTGAAGGAAGCATCTGCTGAGTTTTATAAGGAAAACTAACATACAGTTTCTTCTGATCTCTAGTACCTCCAGTTATATAAACAAATGGCTAAATTGTCCTGATTGCTGATTTAAATGCCATGGTAGGTTGATGGTTGTGAGATACTATGAGTATTCCCTGAGGTCTTCAAACTTCCAGCACACAGAGTATTTCAATATGACCTGTGATTTTAAGGGGAAAAATGCCCATTAAGACTATATATGATAATTACAACCTGAAGTATTGCAACTGTCAGTTTATAAATCTGGCCTTTGATTCATAATTAGAGCTTGCTAGTTGTAGAGGCATGGAATGCTGTTCGAAACGGGTAACTGATAGAGCTGTATAGGTTATATCTTAACAATACAGCTCTGATTCTTCATAGGTGAAGTCAAAATGGCAAAAAGAATGTGTGTTGTATCTGTGGCCCAGTGTTATTTTTGTTCTTTGCATTTTGAAAATTAAAAAAAAAAATAAGCTAGCATTGTAGCTATGTAGCATGAAACCATGTGGCTAGAATTAGATGATTGTACAAGCGCAGAACTGCCAGTGTTGCCTTTCAGTTGGGTACAGCATTACTTTTCAGCCTGCTTTTTAGGTGATTTCTCTATCTAACCTAGATTTTGGTTTTCCTCGCTACCTGAGTCCATCTTCCAGTCTTCTCAGGCTTTTTGTATGAAGAGATACAGGCATAAAGTCAAGAGAACTTGTGGTGCAAAGGATGGCTTGTGCAACTTCTAATACCAATGTCCAAATGTTGGAAACCATTAATCTTTACCTCAAGGAATGAATATATATGTATTTGCTGCTGGAATCATGCTAGAATTTAAGTAGGATAAAGCATAATAAAAATACAGACGTGCTGATTTTAACAGTAAACAGAAAAATATGTTTATGCCTCTGTGAAAGTTCTTTCCCCAGTCAAGTTTGTGTGTTCAGGTCTTCTGATAGTGGTGATTTAATAGTCACTGTTCATACATGCTCAAAACCACAACACAGTGATCCAGTTAATTGGAGAAAATACCGGATTTGTTTATCCAAAGGTCAGGAAGCCTCCAGGATGTATCTTCTCACTGGAAGTAAAGGTCTAGGTTGCTTAATCATAGTATTGAGATGGGAGCTATCACAGGAACACAGCCATCAACTTTCCTTTATAGATTACCTAAAATTAGGTAAGTACTATTACAAGAGGAAATACTTCAAAGCCAAATAGTTCAGAACATGACAAGGCTAGGAAAAGATCTGTAGGTGAGCACCGATGTTTTAAAGAACAATATGTGGGAGGGAGTTTGAGAGATTTATTTATTTATTATTTACTCAGTTGCTTTAGAGCCTTCCCATTACTTTATTATTGATGACTGCTGGCTTGTATGAGAATGACAGCCCATCCAGTTTTCAGTCTGTCATTTTATATGTAAATTAATGTTTTAACAGAGATCCCTTGGCTGGCATGCTTTAGTGTGTACGTGTCGCTGAAAAGGACCACTGCCTTTGTCAGCCAGCAAGAGTCTGAAATTGTCTGAGAAATAGAACAACTTGGCTGCTGCTTCAGTATTACTGTTGTCTTTTTGAGTTAATGACCACACCTGGAACCTATGTTTAATAGCACTTCAGATGAGATGGACTTTGCCTTTTCCTTCCACTCTCAAAAAAATAATCACACAAAAAGGCTATTTCTGAAATAGAAGGGAAAGTGTGTGTTCCTCAGGCAGTAAGTGTGGTGCTTGTGATGGAGTCACTTTGTGACTTAAAAGAACATAGAAAAAGTGGCTCCTGTACCCCTTAATCTGGCAATGGGAAATAGTAACACACAAACTCTGATGAATACTGTGATTGAATAGATGCATTTGATTGTGGGATAAAAAGATAATTGGTATTTCTTTAAAGCCAGGGACTGTTTAACTGTAGAACTCTGGGTAGCTGAAGGTAGCTACTTAAACAAATTTTAAGATAAAGTTGAATTTGTGCCAGTGCTTCCAGTAGGTAGTATTCCCAGGAATGGAAAGAGACCTGCAGAATTCTTGATTATGTCACTTGGGTTTTGTGTTTGGTTTTGTTGTTTGCTGTTGGTTTGCATTTTGTTTGTTTGGGTTTGGGTTTTTTGGTTTTCTGTGATTATTATTATGGCTTTAATTTCAACTAGCTTTCTATGTATCCAGAGTGTACAGAGGGAAGGAAAAGGTGAAATTGGAATTGAGTTTCTTTAGTACGTCTCTCGGCATCCAGCATGCTAATTTTTAAAACATAAAACCTGTGTGTATGTTACAGAAAATCACGTATTTTAAAATGCTGGTGAACAGTATCTTAATTTATTTAGTGATAAATCCCGAATGTGCCGTTATTTCTGGGACAGAGATGGGAACTTCGTTCAGCTACTGATCCCTGTCAGGTCTCAAACCGCCAATACACATAAGCCAGGCTTCAGTTCTCTTGCTGGAGGAGGCCTTCAAGTGCAGCCCACAGCACCAGGAAAAGCTGGAAATTCTTTCCATGCGCCTCCTCAGCATTCTGAACCATAGGGGCTCACTTCCGAAGAAGAGCAAGATATAGAGAAGCAGCTTTACAGTCTATTAGACAACAGAACTTCCTTTCAAGATCTGTGGGAGTGAAGGAGGAAAGGGGCAGAAGGGGATGAGGAGAAGAGATGGGGAGATTTTGTGACTCACTCTGAAAGGGTCTGTGAATCTTGTCTGGTCAGCATTTGAGCAGCCTGACTATCCCAACCAGCAGGGATCCTGCATGGATCCAGCTCTTCTGTTTTCTCTTGTTACTGCTGACACTTTTTAGGCATGATTGCATGCACTTCCATAGTAACATTCAGTGCAGGATAGTGCTAACTTACATCTCCTTCCTCTGTTAGTTTACCTGGTCCTGTTACTTGACCTGTTAGTGTGAAGAGCTTTGTTGGAATTCAGTGATTTTTCTACATAGTTGTAATTTCTGGCTAAATAGAAAAAGAAATAGCTATGAGGTTTTTGTAGATAAATAGTTTTGATGCAGCTGTAATAACATTAGCAGAAACTGTTATTTATGTAAAGCTTTAACATTTGTAATCTTATTATCAGCTCTCTGCTCAGCAAATTGAGACAGCAGTAAAAGCTTCATCCCTGTTATGTATGCTAATATATGTCTGTAATTGAAAACAGCAGGTATGCTTTAACTGTCTCTGAATGAATGTGTCTAGTGAAGCTGGAGCTGGAGGAGAGCAGAACAAGTGAGACTTAAAAGGGGAGTGCTATTTTGACTCAGTTGCCCTTTTTCACTAACATACAAGTGCATGTTCCGTAAAGGCCATGATATTGTTCAATGCTCATAGAGTGCCTGGAGGGGGGAAGTTGACTTTGCACATAGTGTTGGGGTTCAGTATTACTGGTTTAGCTGAATGTTGCTTTCTGGTTTTTTTCTTTTAGGCATTGGTAGAGTTGCTGCTACATCTCTAGGAAACTTAACAAATCGTAGTTCTGAAGATTTACCTCTTCCTCCTGGCTGGTCAGTGGACTGGACTATTAGAGGAAGGAAATACTATATAGATCATAACACTAATACAACCCACTGGAGCCACCCACTCGAGCGTGAGGGACTGCCTCCAGGATGGGAGAGGGTTGAGTCAGCAGAATTTGGAGTGTATTATGTAGATCACATCAATAAAAGAGCTCAATATAAACATCCTTGTGCTCCCAGGTAAGACGTCTGCCTTCTCTTCTGTGACACTTGGTTTCTTTCTTAAGCCAGTTTAGAAAGTGGAATTATTTTTGACTCATATAATGTGCCAAAAGCTTATTTTTAGAAGTAAGCTTTACTGGTTCTTGACTAAGATTTTTAGAAGTAGTTGTAATTGTTAGGTTTCTGTCTCATGTGTTACTGTCTTAAGTTTAGAAACAGGATATTGTTCCTAACTTGCTAAAACAAAGCAGCTATTCTCTTCAACTGTCAGTAAACCAACAAAGTTGCCGAGAACAGAATTCAGTTGCATATTGAAAAGAAACTCAATCTGATGTTCCAGGAGACTGAACAAATAGCACATACCATCTGAAACATGAATTAAGTCTTGTCTAGAACAAACCCCAGCATTTTAGCTACTCAGAATTTCAAGGTAAAATAATGTTAGTATGCACCAAATCTAACAGTTAATTTCTGGTACTTAATCTATCTTGCTGTTACCCAGGAAAAGAAAGATTTTTAACATGTGGCACAAAAGGTATGCATGTGAAAATACCCTTTGTTACAAATGGAATAACTCTTACCAGCTGCTGCCTGAATACGTTCATTCTAATGTATTAAATGGTGGATTACTTGGCTGAATCAGTACTTGCCTTTTTAACGTGTTAAAAACATTCTGCTTTAGTATCAAGGTAGTGGGCAGTAGGTGAATAGGTCCAAGATAAGTTTTACAGCGTGCTAGCAAATAGCAGCAACACGCAGTTGTGATTGGAGTGAAGCATAAAAATAGTGGCAGAAAGTTGCTCTCACTATAGGCTTGCTGAGGCAACACTCCATTTGTGGTTGCATCATCGGCCTTTGCATGTATTAATCTGTGTACTGATGTTAACAAGTTAGTGATATTGGTATGTCTTAGTTATTGCTTCAAGGTTATGGACTTTGTCTTCCTTTGTGCAGCGTTCCCCGTTACGACCAGCCTCCCCCAGTGACTTATCAACCGCAGCAAGTGGAGAGAAGCCAGCCCCTCCTCGTCCCTGCAAACCCCTACCACACTGCAGAGATTCCAGACTGGCTCCAGGTCTATGCCAGGGCTCCTGTGAAGTAAGCTTTGGGGTTTTTTTCCCCTTTTAATTTCACACATGCATTGCTTAAAAGGAAAATGAATTTTGATGACTGAAAGTAGAACTCTAGCTGGTATCTATTTCTTAATTGCATAGGCACTATTGCCAACAGCGCACGAGTAAGTTGTACCAAACATGCATCACATTAGTTTGCTTTGGTTTAGGCATTACTTAAAATTATCACAGTACTACTGGCAGTTCACATGATTTGCAGAATGACATGTTAGAGAGCTGAGGATGTGATTTACGTTCAGCATATTGGTGAGTACAGCACCATGTGCTTATAAACTATGTGAAAAATTTTTAGTGTTAACTTCTTAATCTATATCTTACCCCTTTTTAAAAAAGACAGATTTTCCTTCGCAATTAAGAATTTTTATACAGTCTGAAATCTCTTGAATTAAAAGCTATGTGTTAGTACAGGGCATCTCCTCCAAGAAAAGATTTGAATCAGCATAATGAAACAAATTAAGTTTTCTAATGGGTGCAGCTCTGCAGAAGAGTAACACTAAATAGAAAAGCAAAAAAAAAAATCCAGATCTATTTTAATCTAATTATGAAATCATGTACTTTTTCATAAGAGGAATGTGAAGAAACTGAGTTATACAGTAATGAATAGGTCAGTCTGTAGTTGCAGATTCAGACTGTTTATGATGTTCAGTGACTTCGACTAAAACATCCTCTTTTGTTAGCTGCTTCTATTAACTATGATTTGAATGGGGTTTATTCTTGTGGCTTCTGGGCTTGCCAGCAGCCCATAAAGATTTAAATTGGCCTAAAATCCACCAGTACACTTACGCACCAGGGACATACACATTCCTGTAACCTATGGGAGGACTTGTTTCCTAGAAGTACTTCTAGGTTTTGGCTGCAGCTGCAGTTCTTCATTTAGGTCTTTGGCACATCCAGGCAATGTAGTTTTAAATATTTCAGCCTGTATTGTATGGATTCTTGTTGGTACTTTTCTTGAAACTTGAGAAGCAAAGTTAAGACAATTTAAACAATTTAACGTTAACAGGAATGTCTTAAATTTGTCTCAGCCTGCTAGATATATAAGAAAAAAAACCCACCAAACCACAACCTAAAATATTTAATTCATTCAAGCTGTTTAAATAGAATTTACATTGTTCAGAGCAATCAAAAATCATGTATTTTCCAGTATCCTTTTAGCCTTCCATTACAGTAGTGCTGGTAGTAATAGGAATATTGTAATTCTCCAACACTTCTGTGAAGATGTAAATTCTGATTTATGCTAATATTCTGTTGGAAAACTGAGTAAGAGTGGTAGCAGCTGGCTCAGTGTCATCTCATCTTGAGGGCTTCTTAAGGAACAATTGATAAATGGTTCTCACTGTTATTAAAATCCAGATCACTTCTGTATTTTCAGTGTAATTTTAATAATGAACCTCTTCTTGCCAAAGCAACTGGCTTAAACCTTAAGAAGAACATCCAGTAATGCTTTTAAGTTCTCCAGTAGTATTGTCCAAAAGCTGAATATGAGAACAGTATGAACATCCTCCTACGTTCTGGTGCAGAAATGGAAGTAAGCAGCCACACTTTCATAACAGCAGTAGAGGAATACCTTTTGCAATCTGCTATTTGCAATTTAGTGTAAAAATCTCTTGATTATCAGAGCAGTTTTGTACTGAAATCGTTGTGGTCTGTTTTGTTATGATTTGTTACTTAATGCTTGACACTAGCTTGATTTAGCCAACTAAAGGCCAGTTGTTTTTGTTGAGTAAAGTAGCTAATCATAGCAAAAATAGGTAATGTTAGCTTTTGTTTCACGAGTTTCTCTAAAGGATAAGAATTCTGGCTGCTGGAAAAATCTAATGGAGAGTTCAGTAGGTGTTAGCCATAATACATCCCTATTTTAGTGAAAAATGGTCAAACTGTTAAGATAAAGAAGATACTTGGCTCACTACACGATGAAGAGGCCTTGATGTCTAGTTGAGGTAACAATTTCCTATATCAAGGTATTTTTGATAATTTGAAGCATCCTTTTTCCTCTCTCCTGGCATCTTGTTTTGCGAGCAGAAGTGCAGTTATCAGAATCCGAGTGCAGTGGAATTGAGATTCCTAGCTAGCAGTTAAGCCTTTGCTTGCCTCTAGAACGGAGTGTTTTTCCAACTATCCAAGTTAGGCAGCCCAATCTGGTAGGTGTTCCCACAGTATGTTGGACTGCACGCATGGGACTTCTCAGGGTGAGGAGACCAAAAATGCCTTTCTTTTACGAGAGATCATGGTTCCATTCTTCCCCCGTCTCTTTTGAACCAAGGATCACAGAATCATAGAATGGGTTGGATCGGAAGGGACCTTAAAGATCATCCAGTTCCAACCCCCTGCCAGGGGCAGGGACACCTTCCACTAGACCAGGGTTGCTCCAAGCCTCTGTGTCCAACCTGACCTTGAACACTGCCAGGGATGGGGCAGCCACAGCTTCTCTGGGCAACCTGTGCCAGTGTCTCAACACCCTCACAGAGAAGATTTTGTTACTAATATATGATCCAATTCTGTCCTCTTTCAGTTTAAAGCCTGCTACAAACTGCAGGATCTGAACACAGGACTTTCTTCTTCCAGCTCTAACCAATTGGCTGTAAATATTCAGGGCAGGTCAGTGTCTCTTGTGTTGAAAGTGTCCTGTTTTATATTAAATACTTGATACCTACTTGGAAAAGCACTGGAGACTGGGCATCCTGGCTGCGTATTCTGTCTAGTAAGTTCCTGCTTTCTAACCCAGGAGGAAAAGCTCTATACTCTGCAGGAATTTTGAACTAACATGTTTTCTCCCCTTGATTCCTGGCTCTGTGACTAGTTGTCCTTCTAAAGAATGTGAGTCTGGGTCAGGTACTGGTACTCTGTGCCATATTCCTCTATGCATCTCTCTGGTTAGTGTTCCTAGACCTTCAATCTTTTGAATTGGAATGAGCCAATTCTCACTGCTGATGGCTTCATCTTTAAGTAGACTTCTTGCCCTGTTCCTTGGCAGGCAAAATGAAGCTCTAACACTGGAAAGTAATCCTGATGTGCTGCTTTTCTTGAGAAACTGTTAGCAGTGAGAGCTTCCAAGAGCTAAGAAACACCAATGTTTTATCATCATCTGTGGTGCAGACCCCAGAAAACCTGCAAACACATTATTGCGTGTGATGGAGCTTTGTTTTCCTTTCTGCTTGTGTTGCCACCTTAGCAAGAAACAGTCCTTCCACTGAGAATCAGCCTTGCTGCAGCCTGTATTTTGATATATGCCATTGCCCCAGAACATTTGAAAGGATCCATCAGCCCAGGGCAAGCCTGGGGAAGTCCTGCTGCAGTTGAACTCAGTTCATGATGAGTGGGAAAGGAGCAGAGAGGGAAAGATGGTGTTCACGTAAACTCAGTCACCAAATGCATACAAAGATAGCTGTACTTGGCAAAACCTTCAAAGCAGCAGCGTGCAGTCCACTTCTCTCTGGAGTTTGGTTTCTGTATTGACAAAACCAGCTGCAAGTTGGGGTTTTTTTCTCACTTTTGGGGAAGAGTGATTTTAGCAGTGCAGCCCTGTCAAGACTTGGAATGACTTTAATATAGAAGCTGTTACTTAGGAAGGTTATAGAAGCTGTGGTTATTTAAGTTCTTAAAATTCCTCAGAAGCATCTTTGCTAGTCATTTGCATGTCTTGGTGCTTCTGATGCATACAGCCTTCCAAGTATGTCCTTGCAATATGTAATGCAGTTTATTTGCATAAATTTACTGATATTTTGGCTTCAGCCTCCACTCAAGTGAATGTATCTTCTCATATATGGTGGTAGTGGGAAGAATACAACAGCAATTGATTGACTTAGCAGCTGAGTTTGTTTCCATCTCAGTTGGGTATTCCTAAGGGAGGAGTTCAGGGTGGTGCCGATGTTTTGGACTCTGGGCATGTGTCGCCAGGGGACATGCCCAGGCTCACAGCAGCTCATCTTTTCCAGCATGGGGAGTAAGAACATGCATGATTTATAGCTGCTGGTCCTTGCATTGCTCCCTTGACACCCACCCTGCTCCCCATGGGGACAGATCACTGCCCATGTGAGCTGTTAGGATGTCCCTGACTGGTGTGAGTACTTGCAGCTGTTACTTATGGCCTTGGATGCCTCCCCACTCAGTCATCCCTGATCCTGTCTTATAACCCCCCTTTTTGGGGTCCGGTGGCATTCATGACCCACAGATTAAGACACCCTGATTTAGATTATTGCTGCTACTTAACCAAGATGGGGATGGAGTCCAGGAGCACTTGTTAAGGCTGAAAAAAGAACGCTTTGGGAACAGCAGCAGGTGGCAAAGGAAGACTTCAGTATTCTGCCTTTGGTGAGGTGCTGGCTGGCGAGCATTGGGATTAACTGTGGAAATAATTTGGGTTTTTTTCTGTGTTACTCTTAAAAGATGTTTGACTGCTAAATCTTTGAGCCTTGTCATGAATGGAATGGCTGGTCTCATTGCTTCCAAAAGGTATTTTCTGCGTTGGTTTATTTATAATGAGTTAATAGGATCTTTATTTCTGGACTTTCTCTTGTTGTATTATAGCGATTCTGCAGTTCAACTGTAAGTGATGTTTCTCTGACTCACTTTGAGCCACAGCTCCCTGTCTTCTGGTGTTAATTATTTCCTCACCTAAAACACGCTGACGTAGATTGTGATCAGTGGCTGTACAACCATGAGGCCAGTTCTTAAGAAAGTGCCCAGAACACACTGCGTGGTTGCTTGCAGAGGTTTGCAGATAATCCCCCCTTTCTTTTTCTTTATCAAAACAGATACGACCACATTCTGAAGTGGGAGCTCTTCCAGCTGGCGGACCTGGACACGTACCAGGGAATGCTGAAGCTGCTGTTTATGAAAGAACTGGAACGTATTGTGAAGCTGTACGAAGCGTACAGGCAGGCGCTCCTCACCGAGCTGGAGCACCGCAAGCAGAGGCAGCAGTGGTATGCCCAGCAGCACGGCAAGAATTTTTAAGCAAACTCTTGTTTAAGATAGACTTTTCTGAGGACACAAAGAGCTTTAAAAGGTTTTCACACTTAAAACTATGAAAAAGTGCTTTTGTTGAAAAGGCAGCTTATTTTTGTTGATGTTGTTGCACCTTTGTTATTATCCTCTTGAATAATTTTCTACATGTATTACCTATTGTTTATAAAAATGACAAATGTTTGTTAATCTTTTTTCCATACAAGAAGTAGTTTATTATTCTGAAAACCAGCATGGAGTTTAATCAGACACTTGATTCTGGTATCTTTTTCTAGCAGCCGGCTGCATTATTAAGAAGCTGACTGTCTGCTTTTAAAGGGCAATAGATGCAACTACATGAAATGTCCTGGATTCAAGACGTTGTTATAATCCCAGTGACTGTTTCCGGGTATTTCCCTCGGGATGTCATATCCCTCTCTCGAGAGCTCTGCTCTTTGTTTACAGCTATAACAGACAGAACACTGATGCTGTTCCTTTTCAGTAAGGCCCAGTGCTGTAACCAGGCGAAACAGAGCACGAAAGCAAAGTCCAAGTTGCCTTATTTTTTACTTCAGCGAATTACTACTTTAATTTTACTACTGGTTTTCACAGAGATTAGAGGTGGAATTCCTTCCTGAAGACCAGGATCTCTAAGCAAACTGTTCCCTGTTTTTTAAATCCAAGCTAAACTGTGTTTTGTGAAATGTGACCCAGTCACATGGGAAGGTAACGGCACTGTCTGACCAGCTGTGCTACACCGTGACACACAATCATTTTAAACGAGCTTTAGTCTTGTAGTAACATTTCCTTACTTGGGGAAAATTTTTAATTTTACAGTCAGCCTCTCCAGTATTTTCATTTGGTTCATTGATTGTCCTGAAATGTTATTTATGGATTCTTTTTAGTGCAATAAACATTGTTGCAGACAAAAAAATCCCCCCAACATTTCTTGTAAATCCTATTAATTCAATAAAAGTTGTTTTGTTCAGTGAATGGAGGGTTGTCCAACTCTTTTGTTTTGCCTTTTGAAGGTCAAACATTCTTACAAGCAGTACAAGGATCTGATCAGGATGATGAGAGGCAGAAGCTCAGGCTCTCTGAAGTCATGTGGGGTTTGGAGGCTCCAGCTTGGCTGTGCTGAGTCAATGATAGGGTCCCTTGCATCAGGACAGTGAGGTGAGGAGCGGCCAGGGCTGTGGACCTCAGCAACAACCCTTCCTTCAGCTTGGCTTCACCTGATAAGCTTTTCCTCTGCTGTTAAAAACTGGAGACTTGGTTGTTCCCAAGACTTGTAAAACCTTATACGTGAGAGAAGCACCTTCCAGTGGTCAGTCACCCCTGGGCCAGAGACAGGCCAGGAGTGTGTTCCAAATACCAACTTAGCATTAAAAACATCAAAAAGGAAAGCAAGAATGTGAGGAAACCAAGACGAGAAGTGCTCAGCTCATTAGTCAATAACTGCTTCCTGCACCACCACAGTCTTAGGAACCGACAGCAAACTTTAATAGTTCTGACGATAAAAGAATAGAACTGTTGAACACACTTCCGATGCGCGATAATGAATGAATGTATATACAGAAATACAGCAAAATGTTCTCAGTACATCTACAATGTGGCGCTTTGTGCATCGGTTACCAACAGAAAAGTATGCTTCCCCTACCAAACCATAACATCTGTAGCAGAAGTGCCCTTACTGTTTCTGATAAAGCGAGTTAATACATTTTTGTTTTTATAATTAAACAGTTAATGGAAGAAAAAACTTGGTTACATGTTATAACTTGTTCAAGTATCTGAAAATAAGTTGGCTTTTGAATAAGCTAAGGTCTGAAAGATTTTTAGTTGCAGTATCATGTAAATTATGGGTTCTTTAGTGACTTTGTAACAAGTTAAGGGGAAAATAAGGCTTCGTAATGAGCTGGGGAGTATGCTGGCTATTACAAATTAAAAGCACTTTGTAGTTGCGGCAGTACCAACATGTACATATGAACAGAACAAAAAACATGCTGAGGTCTTCCTGTCACACACGGCACCAAGCCACCTTGCACAAGATGTGTTCTCCACTCACACTCTTCTGCAGCAGGAGCTTGTGAGGGGCATGAGGATGAGAGTGCTGGACTGAGGATGAGGTCTCTGTGCCTCCTTCATGCATCGACAGGAACACACCGGGGTTACACCTTCTTCCTCTCCGAGCCCTCGGTGGGCTCTGCTTTCTGTGCAGGGAAGGCGTGCTGGTAGAGGTGCCTGTGCGTCGCCGCCGCGCTGTACAGCTTGTACAGAGCCTGGGAAAAGAGAGAAAGCGGTTGCGTCCCCGGCCCAGCTGCGTGCGATGAGCAGGGTCTGTGCTTTGGCGTCTGTGCTGCAGCGGCAGGGTCAAACCAGCCACAGCGGGCAGTTGGTTTTGTGTTTGTGCACCAACTCTTGATTGTGTCTAACTGCCAGCAGGGAGAAGAACAAAGATCACCTGTTCACTGATTTTTCATGTGTCTCAGCTGTGGGAGAAGCCCCCCTGGAGCTGTATTAAACCAAGGACGACCCAGAGTGTGAGTAAGGGACTCACAGGGGTTAGGAGGTTTTACCCTGCAGGTTTCATTCACAGGAGTTTAAATTTCTGCATCCTCAGCATTTTGGTTTACACCATCAGGCAGGCACATACTGCATCATACAAGGGCTTTGCTATTTAATGTCTAATTGTCTAATTATTTTTCTGCAGATTGTAGACTCTGCATGGCTTGGGTTGGAAGAGACCTTAAAGATCATCCAGTACCAAACCCTGCCACAGGGACACCTTCCACTAGACCAGGTTGCTCCAAGCCCTGTCCAACCTGGCCTTGAACACTGCCAGGGATGGGGCAGCCACAGCTTCTCTGGGCAACCTGTGCCAGCGCCTCAGCACCCTCACAGGGAAGAACTTTTTCCTATCAATCATCTAATCTAAATCTCCCCTCTGTCAGTTTAAAGCCATTCCCCCTTGTCCTATCCCTACATGCCCTTGCCAAAACCCCTCTCCAGCTTTCTTGTCAGCCCCTTTAGGTACTGAAAGGCTGCTCTAAGGTCTTCCTGGAGCCTTCTCTTGTCCAGGCTGAACCCTCAGCCTGTCTCCATACCAGAGGTGCTCCAGCCCTTAGAGCATCTTCATGACCTGCCTCCTCTGGACTCGCACCAGCAGGTCCATGACCTTCTTACCCTGAGGCCCAGAACTGAATTTTCCTGTCTTGACAGAGAAGCCTGGCCTTTGCAAACAGCAGCACCACATGTCCCCATTTCTGCAGGGCAGGAGTGAGCAGGCTGCGGCCTCAGAACCATCTCCACAGGGCGACAGGCGAGAGCTGAACGCCAGGGGCAGCCCCAGCAGGAGCCGCTGCGGTGGCTGCACCAGCGTGGATGTGGGCTGTGTTTCCTGTACAGAACTAACATCAGAGCCACTGCGGGCCTGAGACAAGGCTCCAACCCCAAGGGGTGCTGACAGGCAAGTACCACCACTCTGTCTCCCATGCTGACAGGGCGTTTATACTGAGTGCAAATGACACAGGAGAAGCCAAGATCCTCTCTCTCTATATAGAGGCTCTACCTGCAGCTATACCACGTATAGCTACAGAGGACTTCAGGTGACTGGCTGTCATAGCTCTGTGATTTCAATTTTAAATGAACTTCTCACTGGGGAGGCAAAAGAAACTCAACCAAAACCCCACAAGCTTGTGCTGGGGACCCGAAGACTGTTGGTGAGCCAAGATTAGCTCAGGATGGGGTGGGAAGAAGCAGACAACTGGCAGGAGAGGCTGAAGCCGCAGCAGGGAAGAGAAGGGTGTAGGGGCATGAGACCCTCCTCTGGGGGCTGTTTGGGGTGATGCTTGACCTAACGGGCCTTAGGAAATGGAAGTGGAACTTTGTCTGCATGTGTGTTGGGACTGTTTGGGAATGTAGTAGGTATGGTGAAGGATCCTTCATGCAGCTTCTCTGGGTTTCTTTCTTGAAAATACACTTCAGATCCTACCATAGAGACGTTGAGGTGCTGGAGCAGGTCCAGAAAGGGGCAACAAAGCTGGTGGGGGTCTGGAGAATGTCAGATGAGGAACAGCTGCGGGAACTGGGGTTGTTTAGTCTTAGGGAGAAGAGAAGGCTCAGGGGGGACTTTATTGCTCTCCGCAACTATCTGAAAGGAGGTTGTACTGAGGTGGGGTTGGTCTCTTCTCCCAAGTAACAAGTGGTAACAGCCTCCAGCTGTGCCAGGGAGGTTTAGATCGGATATTAAGAAACATCTTGTCACACAGAAGGTGGTCAGGTATTGGAACAGGCTGCCCAGAGCAGTGGCAGAAACACCATCCCTGGTGTTCACAAACTGCGTAGATGAGTCCCTCAGCGACATGGTTTAGTGGTGGCCTTGGCAGCCCTGGGGTAATGGTTGTACTTGATCTTAAAGGTCTTTTCCAACCTAGTTGATTCTATGATTCTATAAGGGACCTTTTTCCATGCTAAGCCAGTCTCACAGAACTGATTTTTACCTGACATTTGTTCTAGAGTTCATCAGTAGCAAAGACTTTGTCTGCCTCTTGCTGATGCATGAGCCAGAGCAAAGCCCACAGACCCAGTGGGCAGAAAGCCAGTAGCTGCTGAGTACCTGTGGCTCAGCGAGGGACCACAGCGCTGGCCTGGGCTGGCCACTGCCCAAAGGAATGGCTTGATTTTTAATCACATATATTTTTTAGTGGCCTTTTGGACCTGTGATAGCTGCTCCAACTTTCTTTTAAGAGGAACTCCCCATAGAACTCAGTGGCTGAACAGTGTGTTGACAGTGGCAGATGGAGCTCTCAGGCTTTGGTGACACAATAAAAGCTGGAGCTGTCTTTTGTCACACACATCAGTCAGACTGGGGTAGTCTTTGGCTACGATGCTGGATTAATGTGTGCAGTAAGGCTCTCTTTTTTGTTTTAATTAGATGCTGACAGGCTGCCTGTGTGACACCTGCATGGTTGGTGTTTTGGTTTGACCTCTCAGCACAAGAGGAAAATTGGAGA